ATGTCGTTTCACAGTCACATATGGCATTGATGACGGCTACGGCGGCAACCAATTGCAATAACGCCTTCTTGTGTTTTTAAAAATTACACGAACACACGAAAAAAGAGCAGTTGGCTATTCGATGGCAGATGCCGATGTCGATGTTCATTTCGATCCCACATGCCTCTCTCGCCGGATGGGGAAAACGCAAACTTTTCTCCCATTCTCGATATACCCGCAGCACAGCGTAGTCTCGTGCCCGCACCAGCGCGGCTATTCGGGACTTCGAAGTTTGCAGTATTATCACCCTGTCACAAAACCAAAAATTACTCGAATCTGGATCCGGAGAAGCAATATGGCCGTGGCAGAACACACAAGGTGCTTAAGCGAATTTGTCTAGAGTCGGTTACTTTGACATGTTGCGTACCCTGTTGGCTTGGAACTCGGCGGCCACACATACGCAATAACCCAAGCCACCTCCAGTCCACCAATTTATCTGATGCGCTTCCCCATCCGGCGGCACCACGTAGCGATGGCGACAACCGCCCGCCCGCCCACACCTAGGCGGCCGGCAATTTGTGAGATCAAGATTGTTGCGTCGTTCAATGAATTTTTGGGCATTGCCGAGATTACCTTGCCATACCATAACATCTTTTCCGCGCGGAAAGGGTGTGGAGGTCACATCTGCGCTTGGCGGTGATATGATAACATACGGGCTCATCAATCAAATATCTGAACGACTCAGCAGCTTCCGACGTCGAAACCATCGGACCTCATTCTCATTTGATCATCATGTGGATACACCCCATTCACCTTTCTGCGTCCACCATCCATACACATCTTTTTCGGCCTAAAGCCTAGGCTTCCTGGTCAATACCTGTCAAGTGCGAATTACCCTACATATGCATGGCACGGCACAACTAGTTGCAGATCACACAGTGTGGGCTTTTTTCCATGGTCATGTCAAGGGCCATATGTATGCACCATGCACCCGAGCTCAAGAAGCTCACAAGCTTGTATGGATTGATATCCGAAAGAGCCAGTGAATGATGATCATTTTCCAACATATTCTACATCCTCTCAGCTTCCGTGTACATACCATCTCGGGGGAGTCGACTGGCTATCTGGCACGAGAACAGCTATCTGGGTACCTTCATCTATCAAAACTTGGGCTTCTATTTATTTATTTGATTGATTGGATATCTCTCATTCTCTTTCTTCTATTCCCATATATATGCATCCCATGTGCTTACGAGTACCCCCGCCTTGACCCTTCTCAACGTTCCACCTACCTTTTCCAGCTCGGCCAATGACATGCTTTAGTTTCACCCCCCCTCCCGCCCCCCCCTTGTCTGCAAATGCACCTTCCTTGAACTCCGTTTCACCATCTCTTGATTTTCATTTTTTCTTGGATGACAACCGCCCAAACTAACCACGAGTTCCTTCCATTTCATTCGTTAACGCTGTATTTTTTTTCTAAATATAGGAAACTCTGAAGAGTCCAAGGCCCACTCGAAGGAAGTCCTGGAGAAGATCCACGGCGGCAGCGATACCGCTAGCAGCACAGCCGCTAAACAGGAAAAGGATCACGGGAATGTGAAGAGGGGTTTGAAGGCGTGAGTTTCCTACCTATTTTCATTCTTTTTTTTATTTTTATTTTTGTTTTTAAGCTTTTATCATATCTCATACCCGGTACTGGTACCATCCCTACTTGTCTTCCCCCCAGACTATCTTCCCCCCCAAAATCTAGCCTCGACCCAGGCGTCGAGGGCTTGTCTTTGGGTGAGCTTGATTTGTGCGATTTTGGGCATGCATTTGCATTTGCATTTGCATTTGCATTACAGAGACATAAATAATTGCAAAAGGCCATGGCCTTCATCCGTTGCACAATCAGGCTAGCGTTTATCCCTCTTTTTCTTCTTTCGTTTAATATTTTTCTTATTTTCCCAAGTGCAAGCCGGGGGCTGTGGGGTTGCAGCTTGCCATTGGGAATGCATTGTTTTTTATCATCGATGGGGATACCTCAATGTACTAACGGCTTTACACACAGGACGATCTCCAACCCAACAGTGTCCGAAGAGGCTACGGAGCGCGCCAAAGACAGGCTCGAGAAGGGTGACTTTTGAGGGGGGTGTCGGCTACAGCGGGTCTACTGAAAAAGACTATTCGCATGCATAAAGTTTGGTGAAACGTTGGTTGCTTCGAATACTGTAGCACTGCATTCTTCTAGTTGTGTCTAATTTTCAGCCGCTCACGACCGTACCTAAATTTAAACCTTATAATCAATTTTTGGGATATAAACATCTTGTAATAATAGGAAGTTTGATAATTATTGATTGTCTTCAAGTTGATACATGAAAAAATCCGGGTGTAATTTTTAACGCATGAACAGAGGGGAATTCAAGTAGCGGGGCATGTGAAATGTGTGATTCACATAGGCCGAGAATAATAGAAATGAAAATGAGAAATATCAGCATACCTTTACCCCGATTGGCTCGAGCATTGGGCAGATCTCAAGCTAACTCTCATCAATCTTCGCAAAATAACCGCACAATTCGATATGAGATTATGTCCATTAGGAGCCCTGCCCTTCAACTCATGCTCATGTACTCGAGTACTCCTGTACTCCATGTGCCTGAAACCCCGCAAATCCGCATCGACTTCTTCGCCGCATCGCAAAGGTTACACCTGTGGGGGGAACAACAGGGCGGATGTTACACCACCACTGGCGGGCCGGCTTACTTCACAGCCTCTCAAAGTGTCGTTCCAATTCCGGCTGCGGTTGTCGAGGGATGGGGATGCGCATGCCCTGCTTCCGAGCGGCAATGGGGTAATGATGAGTTATCTAACCTCTTTTTTTTTTTTTTCCTTTTTTTTTTTTTTTTGAGACATTATGCATTATATAGCCGCCATGAGCTTTCGGAAATCGAAGGTCCTAAATTGACATAGGTAATCAGCCTTTGCGAGATGAGGCTGTAGGTACAGTAAGAAGTGCCACAGCCAGTCTCGATCCAGTGCCACAGCTACCAAGGCCTGAAAACTAAGATAGGTATGGTGAGAAGAGTCGTTCGGGTTCTCTCGTGCCCAGCATGCAATGTGATTCAATACTTCACTTCTCGCCTTTAACCTTGCAAAATGCGCAAATGTGCAAAATTGTTTGTTCGCCTGGAGTTCCCTCAATGCAGGACCATGTCGAAAATTCAACAACACCGAACCAGGCTTAGGTGGATGTAGGGACTCGTAAGTGTTAAACGGCGCTAGTGGTGACTTCCTAATCCGGTAATAATGTATGAACTTTTCTTTTCCCGGAAATTGATCCCTAAAGGCGACCCCTGAGGGAAGGAATGGCGAATTAGGTAATTATTTCGGTATTTTATGCAATCTAGATCTGTTATCCTGTGGCGCCAAAATGGAACGGAAGTCGGGCGGGTGTTATTCTAGCATCCGCCTTGGTGCTAAAGAATGGACTGGATGCCTAGATTGGCGGGAATGAATGCTGTGAATGTTGTAGTTTAGTTGTGGCGCGGCGGGAGAGGGAAAAACGTAAACGTAATGAGGCGTTTATGGGCAGAGGCGGAGGTCTAGACTTGTTGGAGGCGGAGGTCGCCAAAATCTGAGCGGAAACACTTTTCTCTAATGTTCGACCATGATTAAGCCCTCGATGCAGCCGCGCAGAAATGGTAATTCCGTCTCCATCTCCATTTGTGATAGGAAGTTGGGCGAAATAGGTCGGCAAGAAAATGGTGTCGGCTGCTTTGGCCGGTCGGACTCGGTAATATTGAATTGAACCATTCTCGTGAACGGAACTTTTTTCTTTTCTGATTGACACGTAGATACAAGCCAGTCTCGAGCTGATACAAGCACTCATTTGGTTGGCTTATTTTTTAAGTCGACGTGTGCAACTTGGACTAAGTGCCAAGTATGGATTGGTACCCCGAGAGAGCTTGGCATAAGTGCACCATATCCATGATGAAAGGTGAAAGTAAAAAAACGTAGCCCTTGAGGTAAATATCCGATCGATTGGTAGTGGAATGTTTGTATCTTCAAAAGATTGATTATGGTTTTAAAGTCCATTATGTGCCTCGAGTTAGATCCCTGTGCGCGTGAGTTATGAATGTGAATCATTGGTACATTTTCCAGCCAACCACAATTAAGGAATTAATTGTTTCAGGAATGGAAGCCTAGAGGCAACAACTTACCTAAGAATCGTGCACCCTTGAACCAAATATGCAGAAAGTGAATAGATTGGATTCTGTGCAAGCGATTTAATTGTAGTGGCCTGAAACGGGGATTATGAGAGCATGGAGGCATCGTGGATGTTAATTTTCTTTTTTTCCGTCTGCTATCTTAGAATCTAAGCTCTGTGTCCTCAGGCAACTGTGACTCTTGAAGATAAGCTGGTCTGCTGTCATGAGGTGCCACCATTGCGGGCTCGAGTTGCGGCCGTAACAGAGGCGGGGGTCGATATGTGAATCTGGAGCTCACGAGGAGGCTGTAATCTTACTCGACGTGATAAATACTCAAAGCGTGGCAATCTAACGCATTAGCAAAGAAGAAACCCAATGCATAGTGATATTAGACCTGGTAGTGGGGAATTGGGTGGAAGAGTGTTCTATCTGCAAGACTTTGCGATTATTCGAACAAGAATAAACCCATATTCAAGGCCGGAGGATTCTGGGCAAGCGAATCGTTGAAAGTTGGATCAAGCTGGATGCTGGTTGTGACTCATAGGGGATTGCTCGAAGGCAGATCCCAACTTGGTGAAGAGGGTGAACTGGAAGAAGAGCGCGGATTCGAGTCGAGATAGAGGATCAGGAGCAGGTTCACCAGTCAGGCACGGGTACGAGACTACCTACTCAGGTACTTACTAGGTAAGTGATAGTTTCAGTCTCGTGATAGTTTGTAATTTAGCTATATATATCATCTCGCTATTTCTGGTAAATAGGGTCCTTAGGCGATCAAAGTTGTCTTGCAGGTGGTATGGGAGTATATCAAGTTATAGGCAAGATGATATAAATAAAGCCTGGTTAGCTCAGTCGGTAGAGCGTGTGGCTTTTAAGACAAATTGTCTGTAGAAACCTCAAAGTCACGGGTTCGAGCCCCGTATCAGGCTTTCTTTTTTCTTTTTCGTTTTTGCTCCATTTATTAAATTTATTTTACAAAAGCATATGGAATATTTTCTGCCCTCGTGCTAATTTTTTCTGCGTTTGGCGACATTTTGCTTCTCGTGCCATAAGAGGTTACCAAAGGCCATCCTCCTGAGTACAATTTCGTGCCATTTCAAACTATAAATATTCCAACGTCAGCCCTCATATCATCATGTACTTTGGGGTTTGCCGGTTCTCTTACCTGCTCATCCGTCCTGCAAACGAGAACCTTCCTGGACTCCTTCGACTCCTGGCCTTTCCAAAGGGAGTCATGATCACCCGTGATATCAACCGTAGACTTATCTGGCCCCATGCCCTCCACCACCTTCTCCCCTCCATCATCTGCAATTTTGAAGCCTAATACCGCTACTTTCTCAACAACCATCTTCCTCAAAACAGCACTCTTCTCGCCAATCCCACCCGCAAAAACAAGTGCATCGACGTCTCCGCCAAGCTTGACGTAGTAGCTACCAATGAACCCAATCACTCGATCGATGAAGATGTCAAGCGCAAGTTTATACTTTTGGTCCTCGGGTGACGTGGAGGAGGTATCCTGGTTTTTGATGGCGGATGAACGGTCGATTATGGTAGAGAAGTCACTGGTTCCGGTGATTGCGGACCAGCCGGATTGTTTGTTGAGGATTTCTTCGGCCTGTGAGAACGCATTGTTGGTTAATGATCTGTGATATTTAAATATGAAATGGGTTTGAGGGTGAAATACTTTGCTTATGTGCATATCGGATGTGCTGCTTTGAGATAGAATTCCTGCGTTGGATGTGTAATGAAAGACCATACTAGGAGTGGAATCATGTTATCAGAATCCAGCTATTAGGTGATGATTCAAGACGAATGTATCAGGGAATATACATACCTGGGATCTACTGTTCCACTACGTGTAGCTCCCGGAAGTCCTTCTAGTGGGGTAAGTCCCATTCTAAAATATTGAACATGTCAGTATCATTTCTTACCCCATGATCAGTGATCACGCATAAATGTCTCGAATCTCAAAGTACTTACGAATTATCATATGATTTTCCATTCTTGATGGCGCATGCAGAGGCACCACTGCCCAAATGTAATGCGATGATATTTAGTTCCTCTAATGGCTAATACATGATACATGTTAGCATCAATTCATGTAGGCCTTCTCTTTACCTACTAAATGATTGCAATGAACAAGATGTAAAAGTAAGTACCTTTCCGAGATATTCGGCAACCGATCTCGTGATGAATCCATAACTTATTCCATGGAATCCATATTTTCGAATTTTCCGCTTTGCAGCCTGCTCGAGATTTATCGGGTACATTTTGATGTGATCAGGCATTGTTATGTGGAAGGCGGTATCGAAGTATGCGATGTTATGGGTTTTTGGGAGACGTTTAAAGCAGGATTCTACGATTGCTAGGGCAGGTTTGTTATGCCTAGATTGAAAGGTGAACTTGTGAGTATCCGATATTTAATTGGAGAAGAGGTCTAGGATGGAGGGAATATGCATCTGCTTATAGTACAAATCACATACAAGGGCGCTAGATCAGTCAACTGATCTATATACTGATACGTCTTGTCATCTATCGTCACTGCCTTGGGGAAATCCCCGCCATGAACTATCCGGTGGCATGTGAACTTGATGTTGTTCCCGGAGATGCCGAGTGCAGAGTCTTTGGATAGCTGGTCGAGGAATATTTGAAATGCATCGTCGTGGGAGATTTTTCCATCTTTGCCATCAAGTTTCTTATCTTTGATATCTTCTGGGGGATGATCGGAGGAGGTTGATATTGAAGATGGTTTCCTATCGAGTTTGTGGGTGTATTTGAATATGGCGGGCGGGGATGTTATTTTCGAGACGCTGGATTCTAGGATGAGAGTTGGTGGAGTGGAGGTGCGATTTTTGGGGTCGACGGAGAAGAGGGAGAATTTTACGGAGGAAGAACCGGTGTTTATGGAGAGAATGTATGTGGGTTTCTTGTCTGAAGACATGTCGACCGCGATGTAATGTTTTTCTTTATCTGAACGTTGCAATTTGTGTTGATGCTTATCGAGTGTGAAAGAGATATGTGGTATCTATGGAGATCAAGATGCTACTTGCCGGAGCTATTTCAACTATCCAAGTCATTCTCATATTCTTAAAATACCTTTTCTTGAAGTTTGCATTTGTTGTTTTCAAGCAAGTTGTTGCTGGAGCCGGCCGAGAAGCTGCATCGAGCGCAGAAACCTGTTTTGGGCCTGCCGCTAATCCGAATGGGGATGTCGGATGTCAAGTTTACCGCACCCGTTTGGACTGACGTTGTTCCCACGTTCACGGCGCATCGTCGATCATCCATGGACCTTGTTACCGTCTGTCTTCACTATGGGGCTCGTGCTCTGCTTCCTTTCTTTATTTCTCCATTCTCGAAGCTCACCGCCGTATATTCACCTATAGCACCTACCGACGACATATCGCAGTTCAAGCTGCAGGGCACCGAACCAATTCGCATATTACCAGGCCTAGGAACGAGATGCCGGGAGAAGTACTTTCAGAACCAAATCCGCCAGCTATTCCGTCAAATCTCCCTGATAGCATATTATCTCTCAAAGTCGACTTGAAAATCAATGGAGCATTGGACGAAAAGGCACTTTCGGCGGTAAAGAAGTTTAGAAGATGTGCAGACTATCTTGCAGCATGTAGGTTGGATTCTGTTGAAGATGATGCCCCAATCCATATAGTGCGATAGGAAGAATCTGAATGGCTAATTGGTTTTCGTTGTGTAGCAATGATTTTCCTGAAGGATAATGTACTCCTTGAAAGAGAATTGGTTGCAGAGGACATAAAACCAAGATTATTAGGTACGTAGGATCGTTCCGCCCATGGATGCAGAGAGTGCAGTTCTAACAGCGGTTTCATGGGGATAATTGTAGGGCACTGGGGAACCTGCCCTGGCCTTAACATCGTCTACGCACATCTCAATCTTCTAATACAAAAATATGATATGGATATGATTCTTGTCGTTGGGCCAGGTCATGGCGCACCGGCAATTCTGGCATCACTATGGATTGAAGGGTCTCTAGCTCGGTTCTATCATGATTATGGGCTCGATGGAACTGGATTGAAGAAATTGATTACGGGGTTCAGCACCCCTGATGGCTTCCCGAGGTAAGATATGCTCAATTCTAAAGTCTTTGTGGGTGGATGCGCAAATATTGACTTTGAATAGTCATATCAATGCACAGGTTCCAGGATCGATACATGAAGGCGGAGAACTAGGTTATGCTCTTGCAGTGGCCTTTGGCGCTGTCATGGATAAACCCGATTTAGTTGTGACGTGTATCATTGGTGATGGTGAGGCCGAGACTGGGCCAACTGCTACGTAAGTTAGATGAGCTACTCTATACATCTATGAAGTTACGACTAATTGAATATATTACAGAGCATGGCACGGATATAAGTATATCGATCCTCAGGAATCAGGGGCAGTTATTCCAATTCTTCATGTCAATGGTTTCAAAATCAGCGAGAGGACAATTTTTGGTTGTATGGATGAGAAAGAGCTGATTGCTTTGTTCTCGTAAGTGTATCCTCAATAAAACCCCTTTCTGATCGATAAATGGAAACAGGCTCGCTAATGGTTTGATGATGCAGTGGATATGGGTACCAAGTGAGAATCGTGAATGATCTTGAGAATATTGATCTGGATATGGCTGCATCTCTAGACTGGGCATATCTGGAGATTAGAAAGATCCAGAAGGCTGCTCGAGATGGAAAGCCCATCATAAAGCCTCGTTGGCCAATGCTCATTCTCAAAACACCAAAGGTAATTAAACTTCAAGTCCCCTTGAGGAACGTGGTCTTTGTAATGTGGATGTATGTGTGTACTCATGTGGTTTACAGGGATGGGGTGCGCCCAAAGAAAATGATGGCAAATTCATCGAGGGCTCATTCAACGCCCACCAAGTACCTTTGCCCGGGGTAAAATCGGATAAACCACAGCTTCAGTTACTTCAAGAATGGCTGAAGGAATATCGAGCAGAAGAGCTATTCCAGGATGATGGCAAGCCAATTGATGAAGTTACCAGTATCCTACCAAGTAATCCAAATAAGAGATTAGGGCAGGTGCGAGATTCGTATGCAGGATATAGGCCCCCGTCGTTACCAGATGTTCGAGCCCTTATGAGTGAGAAAGGGAAGGATGTGAGCTGCATGAAAGCATGCGGAGAGCTGGTTGACCAGATGTCGCAGAAGTAAAAAACCCTGGCCTTATCTTGTTTCCATAACTTGGCTAATGCTTGACCTTAGGAATGAGCATACATTTCGTGTTTTCTCCCCTGACGAACTATCAAGTAACAAGCTTGATACCTTATTGGAACATACTGGACGGAATTTCCAGTGGGACCAGTATTCTCGTGCGCAGGGTGGTCGAGTAGTCGAAATCCTGAGCGAACATACATGCCAGGGAATGCTCCAAGGCTATATTCTAACTGGGCGGACTGGGTTGTTTCCTTCTTATGAGAGTTTCTTGGGAATTGTAACAACGATGATGATTCAATTCAGCAAATTCGGGAAGATGGTAAGACTCTTTCCACAAAGAAAACTGTTTGGGAGACTAATTAAAAGGGATTTTAGGCCAGAGAAACACAATGGAGGATGGATCTCGGAAGCATCAATTACCTGGAAACAAGCACCTGGACTCGTCAAGAGCATAACGGATTTTCGCATCAGAATCCATCGTTTATAGGTTCGGTGCTAAATCTAAAACCCGACTCGGCTAGGGTCTACTTGCCACCCGACGCAAACTGCTTCTTATCTACACTGGCCCATTGTCTCGAATCCAAGGTATGCCTACTATCCAGATAAAAAATCAAAAAACCCTTCACCATCAGTAATGCTAACAATGTATCCAGAACTATGTCAACCTCATGGTGGGCTCAAAACAGCCAACACCGGTCTGGCTCTCTCCCGACGAAGCAGAAGCCCATTGCCGCGCCGGTGCCTCAATATTCAAATTCTGCAGCACCGATTCCGGCATCGATCCTGACGTAACCCTCGTGGGTATCGGCTGTGAAACTACATTCGAAGTCATCTCCGCAGCCGCAATTCTCCGCCGCATTGCCCCAACGCTCCGAGTGAGAGTTGTTAATGTAACGGACTTGATGGTCCTTGGACCAGAAGGAACACATCCCCATGCTATGGGCGTTGATGAGTTTAATAGTCTTTTTACAAAGGATAGGGATATCGTGATTAATTACCATGGATACTCGAATGATGTCAAGGGACTTCTCTTTGGTAGGGGGTCGGTGGCAGAGAGGGTGACTATTGAGGGGTATCGGGAGGAGGGGAGTACGACAACACCGTTGGATGTAAGTTTCTACTCTATTGATATATTGCAGGTTTGATTGCGTTGCTAACAATCAGTACTCTTCTGCGCAGATGATGCTCCGTAACCACGTCTCGCGATATCATGTTGCAATCCACGCTATCCGTGGTGCAGCGAGATTCAATAAGCAAGTGGAATTAGATCAGCATACTGCTATATCGACTATCGAGCATGAGATCACAGAGCATAAGAAGTATATTTTGAAACATGGGAAAGGTGGGTTTCTAGTAATATTATTTGAATTTACATGATCCGATTGCGGGAAATATGCTGATTACGTGGTGTGATTAGATATGGATAATGCATATGATGTTCCGAACTTCGATTAAGATAATTTAAGGTAGGATAGAGGTACCTTGCATTGTGTGGGGTAGGATTTATAACAGTGTTGAGATGTCCATGGGCTGTGGAAAGCGGGTGTTGAGCGGATGATTAATTCTTTCAAGCAAGCGTATTTTGCGAGAATGCGCAAACAATCATAATACTATTAAATACGTACTCGTTAAAAAAGAAATAAAGTCATTAGATGTTTCTCCATGCATTCTGTAGGCACTCGAGTATACGTATATTGGAGATCTGAAACATATTGTATTGTGATTCTGTGGCGGGTATAGCTCCAGATTCATAATAAAACATGTGAATTCATCCAACAGTCTCTGTAGCTCAGTGGTAAGCAGCGAGCGATTGCAGTTTGTCTACATCTGACAGCAGCTATCGCTAGGTCCCCTGTTCGAATCAGGGTAGGGACTCGTTTTTTGCCGACATTTTTTGTTTGGTTTTGTTCCTTTGTTCACCCCCTTGCATCCGATTCAGCGAGTTGCATGTCAGACTTTTTGTTCTTTCAGGTTGGTGATCCTTGGCTCACAGCGAATTGCATACTCGAGTACTACTCAGCTGACAATCCTGCCCACACCGTCAGGGTTCTGTGATGTGGTGAGGGTCTGTCATTAGGAAGAAGGCACGACAACTTTGCATATTCCAGGGTTTCCTGACTCGAGCTGCTCATGATCGATATTACTGCTTTCATGTTAGCCTACTTTCATGTCTTGCATTGAGTATGCTGAATTGCGTAGTACCAAAAGCAGAAAGATATGCATTGTGTTTGTTTCAATTACCAGATCACGTCTCGTGCACACGCAGATAAGAGGGAAAGACGGTAGACTACCTGTTTGGGGAGGCAATGGGGCCAAGACATGGATGGGTACGAGACTAAAGACATTTAAACGCAGTTGAGCAAAATCTAGAATTTTGCGCAAACAACTACCTTTTTTATGTAAATAGGATAGGATAGAATCTCTCATATGATCATGCATGGCTTGCCTCGAGCTCCCTCCCTCAGCCTGCCTGATTCATTTCATTACGACAAAAGCTGATGCATATATATGTCCATATGTCCATACATTATGATTTTAGTTTTTTTAGTTGCACGAACGCTCACGTCATCATAAGACGCGCACGGGACGGGATTTTGATGCAATATTAATTAATTGCATGGCCATGGGAGATGGACGTCGTCGTCGGGTGTGGGTTCTGCGGAATCAAATCTTTGTTTCGAAACCAAACGCAAGTTGAATTTGACGAAACCAAACGAGTCTATTGCAAGTAAACTCGGGTTTGATTTGAATTCCATTATAATTAGCTCCCCTCTGCGCATATATATGCATCAAGTTCTATAGCTATAGTATGTGCATGCACCACGGATCCCGGCTCAGGAACCGGCCGCGGCCGACTAACATACCATACATCCGGGGTATAGGGTAGGTACCTTATAGTAGTCTCCGAGATCAAAGCCAGATGGTGTGTGTCGGGGGAGGGAAGGGGGGGGGGGTTGATAAGACGGGACTACTTTGCAATTGATTTCCTTTGATGGATATATCCAGGTACCAGTACTGATATTCTCGATTGAGCTATACTTTCAAAATTTCCTCATCGCCAGATGCATAAGGCGGTGATATAATGCTCGAATGTAGTAATCTCTTCACCTGCTCATTATAAGGTAAGTAGAAACAACACGGCGAGGGATCCAACTCCATTCCATATTACAAACACAGACCCTGGATATACTTACCTGCGAACCCTAGGCCCTGGGGACCACAATGAAATCGTCACATACTGGTTCGATAAACAAACATGTCAGGTGATACCGTACGACGTCGACCGGACGGGATGCCGGAGCTGCGGAACACTAAACACGCAATACTTTATCCACTACTGGAATTACTCTACCCAACCCTAGGTAACCTTCAAAACTTCAAGGGAAGAGATGGCCTGGCCGGGGATGAGGTATGCATGCACGGAGGAGAGCCAACGCAGGCGCCGGCGCCGGCATTGCATAGGAGTTGCCGAACGTGCCGTACTTGGAACTTGAAAGCCATTCATTTTTCATTTCCGGATCCGGATCGATCCAGGTATCAGATAATCGAATGAGACTAAGATAATCTCATATATGAGTGTGGTGCCGTATCCTAGGGAAAGCCCACCAGAGAGCTATACCATGAATACACACACTGCCATCTTCAGCTCAGGGCAATTACACAACAGTACCCGAGTAATCTGTACTTTGAGGACATTTTAATTACTAGCTGGGATACAGCTGGAGAACAACCGATGCCGTCAACTTTCCGACCTGCGCTGCGCTAACTAGCCGGGATGCACGGGAATGACAGGGGGGCAGCGGGTTGTCATCGTCATCGACAATATCACTCTACCCATCATCCTTGCAATCCTCCCAGTAGGTTCCGTCAAGACAACAGTAATTGTAAAAAGTCGAACCAGCTGTAGGGCCATGCATATCAGGAGAAAAAAAGTAATTGAGAAACAATGGTAATATGATGATCCAAGTGGTCGCATTTGGCTGGATATTTCTTCTCGAACGGGTCCGGAAATGTATTGATTGGTATCTGAAGCGGACGGAGTACACCAAGGAAAAGACATGCATGCATAACTAGGGAGCAACCTTGACGTTAACGTTGAGACTACCCTTCCGAAAAAAACGTCATTCAAAATTAGCATAAAAAAGTTGACGTATACATATAGTTAGTTAGCAGGTACCTTTTCACTTCAGCAGCTCCCTCTCTCTATTTAGCAGAAGATCCTTGCCCATTGATTGTTAAAATGTCTTGGGTCCTCCCAAGTTCGGTGCATGTCGTAAATGAACGCCCCATCCATCGCAGTTGTGTGTGGTTACTAGAGTAAAGAAGGGGGGATTCCTTGGGGAAATCCTGGTGAAGCCCCCCTCCCAAAGAATATTCTCGCCGGTTCCTTGACCGGCGATGAGCGATACACCAAAGAGATTTAACGTTACCCCGCACGCAGAATGGACCGTCGTTAAAGAATGTAACAGCAAATGTCAATGGTATACCGAAATGATGGGTCATTTTGAGCCGGCCTATAGAAATTAGACTTCCACCTAAGAACTTAAATTCATAACTCAATGTGGCCATTGGGGAAGAAATACCTTTGCAATGGCGAGGAAAATAGATAAATGCTCATCACATGTCGTTGTTGTCAATCTGAGGTCAAGCTTTGCTAGCTGAATAATTTGCAATTTCAAAATATTCATTTTTGCATCGACCAAATCTCACTTGTTGATCGCGTGTTACACCACACCAATGTCTTCTTTTGAACCAACACCCGCATTTCAAGGCTTGACGATGGGTCTGCCTCGGGGACAAGCCGAAAGATGTTGACAACAAGCCTGTGAAGACATCTGGTTCACACCAAAGATATTCAGGGGCGCACAGGCTATATAGACTGCGTATTGAAATGTTCAATATGTGTGGTAACTCGCAACCAAGCAAAGTACTAGGATGAAGGATCACCAACCGATCTGTGATCGATCCCAAGTCGTAATTCCGAGAGACAACATTGATAGACGCTTCAATTCTGCAACGTCAAAACGTAACATTGGAGGCTTTGGGGTTTCAGTAAAACTCTTGCGAACTGAGTTAAGGAGCCAAGCGAAGTGTAGGGTGCCATGTGTTGAGGCTCCAACCTCTTCCCATGTACGGCTGCGCGTGTTTGAATTTGGCTCAAGCCCAATCACGGGTGATAGTCATGACCCCACGGAAGAGTGCACGATCCGGAGTGTTCATCGGTGATGTCATCAAAAGTGTCTAGAAGAACTAATTATAAATTTTTCGATCCAGGGGCACATGATGCTGGTGTAATCATCAGCAGATGAGTTGAATTTGCAGATAGGTAAGATGTGTTCACAAATGCCTAGAGTAAATAAATGAGAGCATGCCTTCAGAATTATCCTCGTCCCTAGCCTGACACTGTAAAAGTAATTCGGCAAGCTTTGTAATTGATGTACGCCAAGTTCCCAGCGAGTAAGCTCCCAGGATATGCCTTTTGTAGAATTGTAAGCTAGAATATAATATTGAATGTCGAAAGCATATTTCGTGAAATGATGCAGGTAAGCCATTGAGGATAATTTTTGCGCCTGGTTTGACAAGCCTAATTGTGCATCCTATCATCCTTTTTGTTGGAAAAGGTGGAGACCAGAATGCAAAGAATCTGCTTGATTTGCAGATGAAGGTCTATGTTATCGATTTGACTAGGTAAGCAACTCCCAGCCTGCCAGTTGTTGTTATTGGCTGCTGCGCTGCAGTGGAGAGTGTGACCAGGCGGTACCTGGGGTGTGTACCATTCCATAACAACCAACAAGGCCATACGTGCCTGACCAAGCGGAGTCTGTGCTTCTAGTAGTGTTCCTGAAGGCTTCCATGATTTCCCCTCTTTTCCCGTCTTAAAAAAAAAAAAATTACCCACATTTATCACACATTACGCGGAGGAAGACCCTTAGTTCCGACACCACCCCAAGATCCTGCCGCTAAAACCTTGGTTAACAGCACCTCTTCCAAGTTGCCATCAACTATCGGAGATCTTTTTCTCTTTTTCCCTTCTCGCCTTTTGAACGGGAATCTCGCATCTGAAACTCGATGGTGCAGAAGTACACCTTTACTTATTTCCGGGTCGACGACATAGACATCAAAGTCGATATTTACCTGCCAGAGCGGAGCGATGTCAGTGAAAATGAAAGAGTTACACGCGAAGACGGGAGCCCAATAATCATCCCTTCAGTCGTTTTCTTCCACGGCGGGGGCCTGACAGCTGGCGATCGAGAGTTTTTCTCCTGGCACTTCCATGGTAAGTTCAATTGATATTCCATTTTGTTCTCACCAAAATTCCACTTGTCCATCGTACGCTCTCGCGACCCTTCTGCTCCTTAAAATGCAGTCCTCATAAGCCACACTTCTTATCTCTATCAGAGTCCCTACTCAGGAGTCATTTAATGACTCCTGCTCGAGAGTTGTCTAGAGCAATCATCAAGTTGCTGACACGATGGATTTGATTCATTTCCACATACCCTTGCCCTCTCGTTGCAAATGATGATAATTTATCTTCTCGGTAAACGTTCTTTGTGTTGTTCTAACTTAGAATTTACTATAATGAAGATCAGGTTATAGCTTCATCACTAGCATTCATTTCAGCAGACTATCGACTTTTGTTTCCATATTCCGCCCATGACATACTCGAAGATGTCAAAGCTCTGTTTACATACCTTTCAACAAAGCTGAAAACCGATATCAAAAATCATGATAATGGCAAAAAACCCGACTTTGAGATATCTGAGACCTTATTTGCGGTAGCCGGATCGTCCGCTGGGGCCTATCCTGCTCGCTTGGCTTGTTTGTATGCAAATCCCAAACCAAAGGCATTCTTCTCCTTGTATGGAACCGGCGGAGATCTTTTATCGCCTTTCTACATCCGCCCGCCATTGGTATCTGGATGGGAATCGGGACTTCGAAATTGCCGGGTCTTTATGGCGCCAACTGCAAAGGATAAGGAGATGAATCTACCCGGAATATCTGGCTGTCCGATAGATCCGTTTGCCGGCAACGGGGAGATCAAATTCCACCAAGAGCGAGTATGGAACTTGTATGTGAAGATGCTCGATAGTGGAACCTATTTGGATCATTTGATGAAATATCCAGGCCTTGGGCAGATGCTGCTTAATGCCAGTAATACCGAACATACTTCTGAACATTCGGGCAGTCCACCAATGGAACCTTGTGGTGTGATAGGGCGTGGTTCCCCCTCCGGTGTGGATGATGAGCGAATCAAGAAGCAGAGGATGCAGAGAGCCATTCCACAGAGCATTCGTCACCTTTTCCCCCAACTCCACATTACAAAAGACTTTCCTCCGACATATCTTGTCCATGGTACCAACGATAGAGCCGTTGAATGCCGTGAAAGTAGGGAAATGGCGAAGCGATTGTGCGAAGTTGGGGTGAAGTGCGAGATCGTTTTGGCAGGTGGTTTAAGCCATGGATTCGATATCATCCCGCAACCGTATGGAACTCCAACACGGGTACTTTGGGATAGGTATGGCGGAGAAGTAGTGCCATTCCTCAAGAGATATTTGGTCGAAACGCCGGGGCAGTGATCCCTTGGACCTCCAGTGGCCAATAGGAAGACAGAGTGGAATAGAAAATTGTCATTATCGAAAAGTTAGGAATTGGGTAATATGCGAGAATTGGGGGGAATGAATCGGTATAATATTTAATGCGATCGTACTGAATGGGCCTAAAACTTGCAATGATCCTTGGAAAATCAGGAGGTGGTTGAACTGATGTCAGGCGCAGCAGAGTTTAGTGGGGTACTGAGGAAGTCTAGAAATTTAGCATAATCAACTAATACTTTTTCTTGGATTGAGATACTTGAAGAATTCACGCTATTTTGGGAGAAGGCCGGGGATTAACCTCATGGAATGCGTGTTGAGCCTGCCACATCCGAGCTTTGTGCTCAATTTCCACAACACACAGCAGGGTTGAATTGGTAGGCGAGTGGGCAGAAATGGACACAGGTCTTTAATCAGGCCAACCAGTGGTAACCTCCAGATGATCCCCAAGACCTAGATAATTCAGCGGTGTACTTGATTGAGCGAGCTCAATACCAGATGGAAAGCAGCGCTTCGACTGTCTTTTGAATGAAGATTTCACTCCAAGTGAGTTTTGGGGGGATGTTTGGTTGCCGGCCGTGGGAAGCTGTGGAAGGAGGGGAGAGACTAGGAGGGGAATTGTCTCATGGGAGGGGAAGTGCAGCTCTGGCCTGTTGGAGAGGCTTGGTAATCCGGTCATGAAATCCGCGTTAGGGTCTGGAAAACATAAACACATGGAGGCATGTGCAACGCACTGCTCTGGCAGGAGTGCAGGGCGCATCACTCCGTCTTGCCCTTTGATGGGACATTCGGACTATATCGGGCCTTGGTCGTGTTTCCAATTGGAATACGGCGCTGCAGCCAGAACAAGGCTCAGATCACACCCAGGAGGTACCTTTTCTCATGCACTGTAATCAGCATGTGAGCAGTGCGGTCGAAATTTCGCCACAGGAAAACAGACGGAACTTACTTCCGGTGGACGAAGTTCAGAGGCATTCTTTGGGGATGAGCGTGATTGGGTCCATCTGATGGGCTCTGGATGTGCGCAGGCCTGAGGCTGCCATTGCCATGGCCTTTTGGAATACGGGTGGGCGTAGTGCCTTAATTGTTGCCGAGTTGTCGTGGGGCGAAGCGTCTGTGATTGGGACAGATCGTCGACGGGGGGAGAGTGGGATGAGGGGAGGAGAGGTCAACGGTCGACGCTCGACGGAATCCGCGGTTGGGCGCTGGGAGTAGGGCAAACTCACGTGTGGCACGTGGCCGCCCTTTTTCTCTACTCTTTCCAGATACCCGCAAGGGGTGGTATGTCACATTCTGGCTCGATCTTCCACTTCTGGCTCATTCCCAGCCGTTCCAGTATAGTCTCGTTTCCAGTAGGGGGGCACGATATAAGCCAACTACGGCACGAGACTAGCCAACTACTGCATTTACCATCTTCGTATCCACCCCCTGGAGTGCAGGGACCTGGGTGGCTGGCCTTCTAGAAAAGCCCATCGACAAAGTAGTCTTGTTCTCGTGGTCTGATTTTCTGTCTCTTCTCAATTCTTCAGAGGTCACTTCAGATGTGTAGTCGAAATACCCTCAGAACCTGTTTCAGGCGTGCTATTTTTATGTAGCATGTGGCACTACGGCGGCACGGGGCAACACGTTTATTAGCTGACCCATGCATGCATGTCACAAGGTGCCCACGTGGAGAGCTCATTGACATTGGCCCTTCTCGAGGCTGCCTTCAATCCAATCCGAGGCTACTTACAATCAACAAACAAACTTTTGGAGGTCATTGTATATCTATCGAGGGAAATTTCTAGATGTAACGGTCCATTTATAATCATCCATAGCTTTACAGTCTGAGGCTTGCTGCCAGCCATCCATGAAGTCTAATAAGTACTTACTAACGAAATCCCTTATACCTCTCCCTCACACTTTGTAGTCTCATGCTTCGTTTCGAGGACCAATCAAAACAAAGGAAGCTTCAACACCTCAAACTTTGCAAAAAGCAAGTCCCTGCCCCGATTCGAACGGGGGACCTAGCGATGTTTGTTTTGTATAACTGCAATCGCTCGCTGCTTACCACTGAGCTACAAGGACTGAATTTTCTCCATTTCAGCATTACCTATTGCTGTTCACGTGCCCAGACTACGGACCTATTGCTAGCATCGGATAAATTATCAAATACTAATTCTCTTAATTTCGCTCCCTTGTTAACTTTCATCCCCATTGTTCTCGTTCTCAGACTGAAAACGCGCTAAAATAATTGTGCGGGGCTGTGTTTATATCCCTATCCTAATTCTCGCTATTACAAGAGTTTATGTAGATCTGAGACTATATGTAGATGAGACTCGAACCGTACTGTTCAAAGGTCTGGAATTCACTGTTATACAATGTAGACCTGAACATTAGAAGAAGAAAAAAAGAGAAATACGCCTCGCTCGCAAGCCCTTTTGAATAAATGAGCTTGATACAATAAAAAAGAGACAAGAAGAAACTTGGAATACACAGCTTGTGTGCAATGTCCAAAAAAAAACCGAGAAACGAATTCAAGCATTCAAAAAGCACTGTCCCAAAACATTGCATGCAGCCATACCCGAAATAAGAATTTCCAGAAAAGAGTACCTCAGATTCGACTTTTACTTCCAAAAAGGTAGGCACGGGTCCGGGTTCCGTGACCTTCGAGGGGCTGGGCACGAGACTACCCGTGACTTGCTTTTCCGAGGAAGTAAACGGTGGTTGGTAAAGTGGTTCTTCAAGCGAAACAGCAACAAAGCTTTCTCACGAGAGCAAATCTTCCCAGTATACCAAGAATTCTCAATGATCCAATTCAGCAGACTCAGTGCTATCCTGAAAGCTATTACTATTCGTTAGGTTCGATCATGGATATTCAGAACGCTGGGAATGCACTTACTCAAACGGTGAACTCACCCCAATTTAGAACCATATCCCCACACAAGAGCACATATCCACCACATCCACAACCACACAAACCGACAAACCACACATGTACTTTTAAAGGGCATCTCCACTAAGCTGGCGGCTTTCCATTCTTCCACCTCCTTACGGTACTTGGTCCCTGCGCAATCTTAAAAGTATCCAGCTCCCACAAATCCACCAACTTCGACCTCTCCGGAAACGCCGCATAAGTCGAGCCCAACTCCGAATACTGAATCGTCTCCAAATCACGAGCCGGGATAGCAACACTTCTCATCCGCTTTGGCAGTACCCTAGGTTTCATCTGCCGCTGGGAAGAAGATACAGAGTGACTACTCTGTCTTACTTGGGCGCAATCATTGTCCCCGTCACCGGCACTGTTGGCTCTAGACCGAGACCGTCGGATCGAGGACGACCGCAAGCCAGGGCCACTTTGGCTGCGTTGGTGGGTGGGGGTGATTTGTCCCCATGCACCGCGAGCTTGGTGCGAGCTTGCGCGTCGTTTCGGGGGGCCGGAGGTACTCGAGGAAGCCGTTGAGCTTCTTGCACGGGTACGAGGTGCAGACCTGACTCGTCGATATGCGGGCCTAGATGGTCTTGTTGGACTGGAACGAGATCTTTGCTTTTCTTGGCCCCCCTCCCCCTTCACATTCTCTTTCCCGCCTTGCTCTGTCTCGCCCTTCCCTCCTGCATCTCGAGAACCTGAGCCCTTCTCCCCAACCAAAAACGCCTCCTCGAGTTCCTCGCAATAGGTTTCCAAATCTTCGTAATCATTCTTCAACTCCTCATGTGCCCTCTTAAACCTCTCAAACTGGATCTCAAGGCCTCTCAACTGCAGCTCCATTCTCCTCACAGTCTTATCCAGCCCAACACCACCAATACTCGCGCCCAGATCCAGCGGCGGCAAGGTCGGCGGCTTCGTAAAGTCCCTCGGACTTTTCTTCTTTGATGTTGAACTTTCTGCTGCTCCTGCTAATGCTGGTGCTGCTGATGATGCTCTAATATTTCCCTTTGAATTCCCAGAAGAAGTACCATGCCCACGGGGCCCCCCACTTTTCGTGTATTTCACCGTCGGTGGTGGAGCGCTGGAGTATCGTGGCCTTGCGTTTGAGTGTGAGGCCGTAGCTGGCCTCCGAGTACTAGTTGGAGCCATGCCATGTCCGCTTTCTGCTTTCTTAGCAGTTGTAGGAGGAGCCCGAGTCTCCTTCGACCGAGTCTCATCAGGATTGCCTGTTCTCGTAGGATTGCCTGGAGTCATAATAGATTTTACCTCCGATGATGTCGAAGCTGCTGTCGGTATAGATGCCATGGTCATGAAGCCTGGTGCAACACAACTTTATTTTACTGTAAAACTCCTGCTGGGGTGGTGATATCGATGATGACGCTCGCTCGTATTCCTTTCAAATTTGTGGTGACGTCGACGACGACGGGAAGCCACAACAACTGGGCTCGATATTAATGCAATAAACGGTCGAGATTTGGCATAGGGTATGACGATAAACGTCAAGGACATGCAAAAGAAAAAACAAAACTCAACCCAGGGTCCAAAATGTGACCACTGAGGGCCAGCCGGGGAAGACGGTGAGGTAAAGAAGGGAGAATGGCAAAGTCATTCCAAGTGAGCTGAATCACCCACTCTTGGAGGTAGGGCGTTGGCCTTGGCAGCAGCTACAGCTCTCGGAGCGCACACGATGGTTTTGGGCAAGAGTTGATTACGAACTCAGACTAGTGTTGTTTTGGTTGTAGGTGTCCGAAAACGGTAGTACCTTTTTCGGCTTGTACCTGCCTCGCTAAACATACGGAAATCCCATAATCGCAGTACTCCGCTCGGGGAACGATAGTCTCGTGACCAGGGAACGAGACTATCCGCTCTCGCCCGGGCAGCTCAAACAGCTTGAAGTTCTGCTAAGACTGTTCTAGGTAACGTTTCGTAGGAGCTTTAAAGCAAATGGCAGCATATTTATCATATATGTCGTTGGTTTGGAATAGGAACAATTATAGTCTTGGGAACAGTTAAAAGTAATGATTTACGAAAGAAAGATGATCTAAGAAAGACTAAAATTCATGAAATGACTCCCGCCATATCCATAAGCTTTTTAAAAACTATTCTACCTAATGCTCGCGGATAAAAAGATACGTCAAGAACAAATTCAGGTGGTACTCTTGCGGCGAGAGTGTCATGAGTGGACGAAGCCGAGTGGACGAGGCCTGAGACAAAAACTGACTTCTATTTAGATGATGATCAGAGGAGAGCTAGTCTCCTCTCTCTGCTTTTCTCTCCTTCTCTCCAAGCCTCCCTCCACGGGTACGAGACTACCCTCCACCACATGGCCCACTTGCAAATGAGGGAATCCTTCTGCTCTTCCCGATTCGGAAGTCCTCTCTCTCCCCAGCTCCTCTTCCCTTGCCAAGGCTCAGATCTCGGCCTCTCCCATCCCTGCCACCGTATCCACCGTATCCACCATGACAGAGAGCCATCTGCACAACAAAAACAAAACAAAGCAAAGAAACGGGGATAATGAAGCGCAAACGAATAAAAAAAACCCCGAAAGAATGAAGAGAAAGAAGAGAAGACCGAAGAAAATGAAAACCACCCCGCGCCCTAGCCTCGTAAAACCCGCGCCCAGCTAAAAGAAAACGAGAAGAAATGAAATGAAATGAAATGAAACCCCATATATCCAACCCGGTCTCGTATAAATGTCCAGGCTTCCGGCCTCTAACAAACAATAAATCACCTCTCTTTCTCCACCCATTAAAATTATGTATTCAACTTGATAGTAAAGTTGCAATTGATGCGTATATGGTGACGATCGACCAGGCTTTCAACCTCTAACAAACAAAAACACCTCTCTTTCTCCTCCCATTATGTATTGTTTTGTCGACCGCTCTGCATCTCGATTGAGACTTGTCGATGAGAGATTGGTAATGTGGGTGTACATGTCTCAGACGCCAGAGCGATGAAGTGTAGGCTTGAAGGAGGTGTGATGTGTTATCGTGCCCAGACCATGGGTGTGATCGTTGGGTTTGAAGGGGATGATAGAATATCGAGCTACCTCCTGGTAATGAACAAATGTTAGATGGGTGGCTGGTAATTGTTGGGTCAGTGATGATATTACTTACCTTCGGTGTGTGCCTCTGAAAGTGGGTACAGGGTATCTATTCCTCTGCACGCATGATGTGAACTTCAACGTGGAGTTCATGTTGGAAAGAAGAGTGGATGTATGTCCTCGTGCCGTGGAAGTACGAGATCAAGTGGAGGTGTGGACGGCAATGCCAGTGTTTGAAGTTGAAGAAAGGTAAGAGCAAGCTGACGAGCAGCCATCGAGTGATGTGAAGAGGTATGATGTGGAGTGAGGTCGAGACTGGGAGTGAGGATGGGAAGAGAAGAGAAGAGGAAGGGAGGAAGGGGGAGGAAGGGCCCCTTTTATACCTGAGAATGTGGGCGTGGGCGTCGGCGATCGGTCGGGCATGGCGGGTCGGGCATAGGGCAGACCCTGAGCGGGCTTCCTGCGTCCCCTCCCAGGGCAACGCGGCCGACTCTGTGAGTACCCAGAGATACGGCGTCCTGAGTATTCTCAAGCTCGTTCCAAAAAGTCCCCTCTGTACACTCAATGGGGCACGATCACGAGACTAGGGCACGATAACGCGTTTAAAGGCCCTCGAGGTGATCCAGTCTCGATCCGTGATCTCCGCCCTGCACACACAAAGCGAGGAAACATACAACACCGACAAAGAACAACAAAATAAAGATTTTGAGATCCAGAGTTCGAGACTAGAGCCAGAAGTCAGAATAACTTCATGTTCATTCGAACTACACAGGAATCAGATCTACATATCAAGTTTGCCCCAGACTGCTTCGAATTTGAAGAATATGACTATGCAATATCACAGCAAAAGCCCGCCGCTGCACTCGAATTTGCCTGTTTACCACACCCACAGCCAATACACATTGTGATTGTCAAACTCCCACAGGCCCACGCCCCTCTTTCTCAAACTGCTTGATGCTTCCTGGCCCTCGAGCTATGCTAGTCTCTCTCACAAGATTTGCAAAGGGCATCAAGAGGCTATAAAGAGGCTCTATAGGCTTCCTTCAACTTGAAACTCGCATCTAGCCAGAACTGTGCCCTGGCCTAATGATTCGTAATTCTCGAGCTATGAAGTGG